CTTAGGCTCAGCTCCAATGGCCCGAGGCTGGCGGGGCTGCGCTCTTCCAGGCGCGGTGGCTCGGAGATGGCGGAGCAGCTGCAGGAGCTGACACGGCTGCTGGAGGCCAAGGACCACCAGTCTCGGATGGAAGGTGTGGGGCGGCTCCTTGAGCACTGCAAGGCCAAGCCGGAGCTCATCACCGCCAACCTGGTCCAGGTGAGCCTCCCTCCCCCCACCTTCCCCCCGTCTCTCCCCATGGGTGCAACTTCAATTTGGAAAACTCTGAACAGGGTTAGACATTGGCCAGACCCCTCAGGGAAAAGGGAGCCCAACAAGCATTTGCTAGCCAGTTGCCTTGGTAACGCTCTAAGACTACTTGGAAGTGGCCGAAGGGATGAGGGCGCTGCTTCTTACCAGGCACCTTGGGACCGCTCAGAGGTGTCCCGGGCATCTCTCAGCCGTCTTGTGGGGAGGAGGGCAGGAGTGAAGGGTGCCGTGGCCAAGGGCGCTGCTGGTCCAGCTATGTGCATGACGTTTCGGGGCAGAGCATGCAGTTGGCCAGGAGACGGGGCCAGGATGGGTGAGGAGTAGGCACAGGCTGGAAACCAGAACAGATGCCTGCTTCTTCCAGGAGGAAGGCTGCTGACAGCCAAGCCACATGACGAGTGGCTGAGACACAGGCATGGAGGCAGCAGGCCGGGGCTTTCTTTCTTCCTGGCTGTGCGAGCTGGGCCAGTGATTCACCTCTTTCAGCCTCAGTTTTTGTTTTTAATGGCAAAGTGAGGATGAGAACACAGGCCTGCCGGGTTGTTAAGATCATTCCAGGAAAGAGAGAGTGAGGGTACCTAACAAGATGCTCTCAAACTGGGCACACAAGTGCTCAATGTGGGGTTGTTCTTCCCTCCGGCACGCCCCACCCCTTTGAGGCGACACACTCTTAGCCACTGAGAGTTCTGGCCCAGGTTGGATGACGCCTGTCAGGGCCGCAGGGGCCGCCCGGCTGAGGTGGGTGGCTGGGCTGTGAGACTCCTGCCCGCCTGGTTCCCACGGGCTCTTGGTTTCTGTTCTCTCAATAGGTGTTCGATGCTTTCACCCCAAGGCTTCAGGATTCCAACAAGAAAGTGAACCAGTGGGCGCTGGAGTCCCTCACCGAGATGATTCCCCTCCTCGGAGAGAGCTTGCACCCCATGCTGCTCTCCATCATCGTCGCCGTTGCAGACAACCTCAACTCCAAGAACTCGGGGATTTATGCTGCCGCTCTGTCTGCACTGGACGCGATGATCGAGAGTCTGGGTGAGCCTCCTGCATGGTCCCGCTTGGCTCTGGTGGGCAGCTGGCTCCCTCCCTAGTGCCACCCTGGGCTGGGCCCACCCTTCCTGCTTGGCCATCGGCAGAGTGGTGAAAGGCACGGGTTCAACGTTTTCCCAGAGGCTGTGTAGGGCACGGGTCGGTGGCCTAGGGCCTGCGAGGTTCTTGGTTGGCGGCTTTTCCACGTCCCATCCACCTGCATATCTTAGATGGTGAAACTGGAGGAGACGTGGAGATGATGTAGTCTTGCCTCCGTTAGCACACGCGACGTAAATGACTCACCCAACGTCACATGGCGCCCCAGAGTGAGCCAGCTGGGTATTGAAGGAAAAACAGGTCAGGATTGCCAGGAAGGAGTTGGGAAGAGCTGTCAAGAATTGTCTTAGTTGTAGACATGGCAGCAGTGAATGTGGCTTGTATGGGGACCAGGCAGATGCTGGTGAGACCGCAGGGCGAGCCTGTTGGAGAGGACCAAGCTGATGGGCAGGTGGGCCTGGAAGGCTGGCCAGCTTGGTCATCTGGTGCAGGAGGTAGGCCGGGGTCCCACTGGCTTTTTGAGTGTGAAATAGCTGAGAGCTGCCTTTTAACAACACTGTCTGGGGCCAGAGCTTCGGGTGTGAGGGGTTTGGTGTGAGGGGTGGGAGTGACATTGGAATAGGGTTGGGGGAGGAATGAAAAGAAAAAGCGGAAGGAGCTATGGGAGAGATGTCAGGAAAGGCAGGAGCGTCCCAGTTCCCTGTGGGCTTTGCAGTATCACATCTTGGCCCTTGAACATCAGGTGGCACTTTGGTGCATAGACTTTGTTAATCTATAAAGGTTCTCAGTCCTTTATAGAGTACTTGAGGGTGCTATTTAGTGTACCTAGTACACAGGCTGACGTGCAAGGTCAAACCTCCCA